CCTTTTATTTAATTGTAGTATTGATGAGTAGTTTAAATATGGGTTTAGAAAAATATGAAAAATAGAATTTATTAACTTCTATCATTAAACTATGTTTTTGCAGTCATTAAAACAAGCTATTGTTGTCATCTGCTAATTATTTTTAGAACATTAAGTTAAATAGTATTGCAGAAAAGCTGGCTTTTCTGCTCAAGTTAACAGGTTTAGCAAGACTGTTTCTATTATAATCACAAAACTATTCCTTCAAAGGAAAAAAACTGAACGTTACAGGGGTTTGTTAGTTAAAGTAAGGGTTCTTGGGGATGGGTATGCAAAAAAATATTTGACAACTGGATTTCAGAATTTTCTGATTGAGTTTTTTTGCTTTTGCTTTTTCTGTCATTCTGTCCCTAGCAAAAACTTTACATTTGCCTTGAGTCATAAAACAAAGGAAGTACACCTAAAAAGAAGTTCAGAGAGGAACTATGATGTTCAGAAGTGTTGTAATTTGATATTTAGGGGACGTTTTTAATGTATTGTTTTTGAGTCCTGTAGCTGTTCAGATAGCCTCAGGTTCTGGAGAAATCTTGACTAATTCAGCTTGTGTTTGTAAGTTGCCCCCTTGTATCTTACTATTATGTCTGTCCTCTATTAAAAATGTTCTGTGTCAGTGCTGACTTGATTTATAGCTGATAATAAGGCTGATTTTGTTTTTAAGTGGTGTTCTTATGCCTTTGTAAGCTGCAAGCACGGATGGTTATGACCCCCAGTGGGAAACATGCTTGATCCAAATATTATTTTAGATTATCTTTGTCAGAGGAACTAAGCAGTAGCCCTTCTGTTTCTGGTTAGTTGAGTCAGTTTTGGTCCTAGTGAAATCTTCATAAATAGCGATAATTTATTCTTCAGGTGATTGGTACAGTTTGAAGGTATTTGGATTTCTGACACTCACTACTCTTTAACCTCAAGAATAGGAATGGATCTTTAAAGGCTGTACAGCTTGTAATAGTGAATTTATTTCAGGTAAGCTCATCAGTTAAAATGTTTTTTGAGTTAATAACTTGCTCGTAGATGCGCCACCGGTGATGTTTTTGTCCCAGTGGTGGCCTAACAGGCTGGAAAGTGAAATGTTCTTCTCAGAATCTTCAGCCAGTTCTAAACCATGTGATTGAGCAGGAGTAATTTGTCATGATAGCAATACCACTTAAAAATTTTGTAGCCCTTCTTATGAAGTCTTTGATAAATACTGCTTGTTTTGAAGTTTTATAATATATTTTTTAAAGCTTTTCCAAGTTAACTTAGCATTAAAGCAGTATGAATTCTTTTGCTATACCCTAATCAGAAAGAGAAATGTCTTTAAGGAAACATTTGCTATGGGTCTTAGTATAGCTGACACTCTGGATTGCAGATTCAGTAGCTTATGATCTTTCTTGAGTTTCAGTATCCATTTAAAAATTAAATGTTTGAGTCAATTTTCCTGAATTTCTTTTTGTTTAGCTTTTATTTGGACAGTGTGCAGACACAAAGAAAATCTTTGGTGTACCTGCACTGTTTTCATAATTTTCCTTCTAATTTATGATTTTATCAACAGGAAGCTCAGATGACTTGAAAAAAGAATATATTACTGTCAAGTACTATCTCCCATTATTGATCTTTTAAGATAATGGGGAGGCAAAGTTTAAACTGTGATATTTTATTAAATGGTTTATGCAGGTCATATTAGGTTTTGGAGGAGAGGAGGCGTTCTTGTAAATAGCTTTTGTATTCAAGTTGGTGTATCACAGATGTTCCAAAACAAAGTGTTGTCTTTCTAATTCTAGCAAGAGAAATTTAATCAAAAAAGGGTGCCAACACTGCTCCTGCTTGGCACCAATGCTGTAGACAGAGCTAGCCTTGGACATCAATAATGTTAATAGTGAGGAGCTCAGCATGGAGTCAGGAACAGAGGGACATCTATTTCAAAACACCAGTTTCAAGCATCAGATGATTCCCTTAGTGTTCAGTAAGTTCAGTAATAAGACAAAAAAGCCTCCCACACAAATGTTTTCAAACCTCCCATGACACTGACAACAGGGAACAAAGTGTGTCATGAGCCAGGACAGGAACAACCCTTAGGTGTGGGTGAACAGCAAGGCTGCTTGTCTCACTTGTTGGTCAGAACTGCTGCTGCCTCTCATCCTGCACTGCTAGAAGGCCGTCAGTGGAAATCCAGCACTGGACCCACGCCCCTCTTAGAGTACTATTCTTTTGCTGTCTCCATATCACTTTTCCATTTCGTCAGAATAAAAACTGTAGGGGGATCTGGAAGCTTTCCACAAACATACTTCCGTTGGCTTTATTGCTCCATTGTTTGGCTATCTTTCTTTGCCTCTTAAAAAGTCTAAAAAAATTATATCTTCAATGAATGAGTCACATGCTCTTTCAGTGAGGGTTGCTTTGACTACCACACCGATGAATCACGGTGTAGTTTTAGGGATCTGTTCTTCTCTGATACCAGAGCTTTTGCCTTCTGGGTCTCTGGAAATGGACTTCTTTGTAGTTTATATTCATTTTCCAACAATGTTAAAGCTATTCAGGTAGTTCCTTAAGCAGCTCTTAAATCTAGGAATCTCTGAGTCGTTCAGGTGCTTTGATGCAGTTTTGAACTCCTGTGACAAATGGTGCTAGTTCTTGGTTAGTTTTGTTTCCTTTATTCTGACCTGTGGGATCTTTGGTCTCACTGATTCAATCCAGTGATTTTTGAGCCAAGTCTGCAATGGCAACTGTTGGTTGACTTCTGACTTGGAAGCTTGTAGCTGATTAACTAATCTGGGGTTATCCAAAATAAGGACTATTGTTTTTATCCATAACAGTGTTTCTTTGTCAGTGTCGTAAGAGCTTGTTTATACTATGAAAAGTCTTATCTTGGTGAGAGGGCTGAAATACGTTTCAAGCCTTGTCATGAAGAGTTCAAAATACAATGTTCTGGCCTCATTAAAAATGTAGCTAGCTTTAGTTAAATAAAAAATAAGCAACCAGCTGGCAACTGGACTAGTGCTGCAAGAAGTTGTTTTACTTGCAGCTATCTTAAGTCATGTCATGGCTTTATACAAGTGGTTACAGTGGATCTTAATGACTGTGTGGAATGAAGCAGCAAGATTCTTAAAGCTGAGTGGACAGCTTGCATGTGTGTCTGGTATAGCAACAATTCAGGGATGACCTTTACTAAAAGGAAAAAAAAAGTGTTTAGAAGTAACTTCTGTGTAAGCAGACATGCAGGAAGCAGAAGAATTCTGCTCATTTGGTATATTTTCCTAGTTTTTAATCAGGAAGATGCCACTGATGTTTCCACTTGGATTCAGCACCTGTTTTAAAAACTGTAGGATTGAAGTCTTAATTATTGCATAGGCTCTGCACTCAGCGATTTTTTTTTTTTTTTTTTTTTTTAATTCTTCTGAAGTTAAGTAACTTTAAACTATAATATGGATTTCAAAGGGGACACAGTCTGCAGGCTTACCATTCCTGGTAAGCTACTCAGTAAAAGTTAGGTCACTCTGCATGCAGTAGAACGGGAAGAAAACCACAAATGGTTAATACCTAACTTGCACTGATTGATTGTAGAAAATGTGGGGTTTTTTGAGATTGAATTTTAAAAGGTTTTTTTTCCCCACTTAAAGATATCAAATGTACAGTTCCTTTCATCCAAAATGGCTTTCTCTAGATGCAGTCTAAAAAGGTCCATTTTCCAACTGCCCATCCAGGCAATAATATGGCCTTAGGAAATCAATCAGTGTTCCTTTTTTTCACCATTTGTTATCGTGGTCAGCTTCAGGTGTAACACGGTTACAATGACTTGCAGGAGTTAATCTAAGAGTAATGAGAGCCCTTAAATTTTTTCTAAATTTTCAGGACTGAAAGAAAAATATACTTGGGAAACAGTGTTGAAAGTCTTTGGGTGCACCAGCTGAGGTCACCCAATGGAGGAGAAGAGGATTTCAGTTGTTCAATATCCATGGAAAAAATGGGGAATGAAGTCTTGTAACTATATTCATATATAATATTAAAAAAGTCTTTCTGATTTGAAATGAGGAATACTTAAGTATCGCTTTTCAGTGTTAATCAAAACCAATTATTTAAGTTTATTTTAGCAATTTAGATGCTTATTGCAATCATATGATTTTTTCAACAAATTCCTTTACTAAATATTTTTACATTATTACAATATATTACACTGTGTTTTATTTTTTTTTCTCTAGAAGAAAGTTCCTGTGCAAAGGAAATAGGAACTAAACTTTGAAATCTAAAATAAGGTCTGAACTGCTTTTCATTTACTTTTCTACCCTTTGAGATGCCAGAAGCAATTTCCTCTTGAAGCTGACTTCCTTTCTGGAAATGATTTTCGTCTCCAACCATGTTGAGGCTCTTTTCTCATTCTTTCATTCTGACTAACTTGCTTTTTTCCCCTCTGACTTGCTACTGCAGTTGAGTAGAACTTCTGGAGGTAAGTAATTACAGACAAGTTTCTCTCTAACTTTCTTTTTTCAGTTCTTCTTCCTCTTTCCCGGCCCCCCCCCTCTCCGCCCCCCCCCA